GACTCGCTGCCACGTCTCAGAATTCATATTAATGTAAAATGGATTTGGGCTTCTGTAGCATAGAGGTTAGTGATGTCTTTTTAACCCAGGCTGGCCAAACACAGAACACCAAAAAACAGCTGAATACAGTCACATGTCACTTAATGCTGGGGATACATTCTGAGCAATGTGTTGTTAGGCATTGTGCAAACATCACGGAGTGTGCTTACACAAACCTAGATGCTATAGCCTACTACACACCTAGGCTATATAGTACTAATCTTATGGGACCACCGTCACATATGCAGTCCATCATTGACTGAAATATCATTATGTAGCATGACTGTATCTAACTAAGTGCTCTTTGAAAAGTTGCAATTTTAGAGTTTACAAAGTACGTCTCAAGTTTCATCCTCCCAATAACCATGTGAAGTCAATAATATATGCCCACTTTACAGATGGGGAAAGTCATGTTCAGAAAAGCTAAGAAATTTGCCTAAGATCATTTGATTAGCAAGACTCAAAGAAACTTGAATCTAAGGCCCAAACTCTACCACATATGGTTGTGATATTTTCTTCAAATCAATAAGGATTATAAACTATTTTTCTGTAGATTTTCTCCATAGTATTTTTATTGTATTCTACCCAACTATGCAAAAATCACTAATGATTTTGGAGATTAAGCAAAATTTAGGTCCAATTCTGTAGGCAATTGTGATTAGATTAGGAAAGCTGTCACTTTCACTTGTGTATTATTTTTTATTAGTTTTCAAGAATCATTTAATACGAGCTATTTAGCTTTCATCAATTCTACTTCTCTTACAAATTTGTAATTTAAATTTACTGATATTATTTTTCATGCTCATAGTTTCTTCCAGCTGTCTCTGATTTTTAATGTAAGTGGCTAAGAGAATACAGGAATAGCAAAACTCCATGGGTTTCCTACACATCCAGTTCTAATGAGAATCTAGGGAAAAGAGAATAAAAGAAGCAACAGTTTCTGAATTTTTCATTTCTCATGGCTCAATTTTCATTTTGTCATGTCTGGAACTTATTTTGTCTTAGGTTTCACGGCCTGATGCTTGTTTCCGATGCTAGTCTAATCCATACTTTAAATAAACGATTTAAGTTCTCTTCTTGGGAAATGTCAAGGGAAGAGAAGATATTTCCCGCACCTACAGCATCCTGAAAACCCTTGCCAAATCTACGAATCTGACTCTGCATTATCCTTCCCCAGAAAGAGAGCATAATTTCATTATCCATGAATCATCACCTCTTAGACTATAACATCATTGTCAGAGAGCCTAATAGAACCAGTGTTCAGCTGGCTGAAAAGGGGGAGGGAAGGAGAGAGCACTGGGGCAAAGCATAGGTCACTGGCATGATCAACAAACTGGAGAGCTCTAGATCCAGAAGGAGAGGCCTCCCACCCTTCATAGCTCAGACATTCCTACTAGCTGGTAAATAACTGGTACTGATTCTTTTCATATTAATATTGAAATTTGTTTTCCCTTACTTAAATTACATCATCTCAGTATCCTGCCTATGGAAAATATTAACCCATTTAATGAAAATATCAGAATATTTGGCCAACATTGATGAGTATAAATACTTTAAATGTTTCTTGTCTATTCTGATTACATTATTCCTTGCTTTTCATCTATGGACACTTATTTCTAGCCCTCGATACCAGTTCTGTGGCCTCTAGGCATTACTAAATAAGTCAATATGCAAAATATAACTTTAAAAAATTACATTATATTTCCCATGGAAATGGACTAAATAAGATTCAAATCTGATTCACAGATCAAAAACTCTATGTTATAAGTCACGTTTCCATAAGGATTCAGGATAAAAAACTAAATAAAATGTGTATGAATAGCTGTGGTTAGTCTAATCAGCCACTGGAGGTCACTGCTGTTCCACAGAAATACAATTTATTGCCTGTTTGTCTACTTAGGTAGTTGAATCACCAAATCAAGTAAAAATGGTTTAAATTCTTTGAAAAGATGTAATGTCAACATTCTCGGAAAATATAAACTCATTTAAAAGGAATATATCTTGCATAAGCATTGCTTAGAAGACTGTGGCACTGGGACTATTAACTCCGTGCTGCGGTAGCACTGTGCGTACCGCGGCTCATAAAAATGGGGGAAAAACCCATGCAGTTCAGAGGCTAAACTGCATTTCCTCTCTCTCTGGTAAAGCATTCGAAGTACTGACTAATCCATTCTACATCGATGTGTCTCTGTTGTATAGTTCAACAGGTCAGGCTGTTTGTTTAAGTGTTGTTGTCTTGGAGGAAAGTCAGATACTTCATGTAAACTTGGAATAGAAAATGGAATATCAATTATTTCTCTAATATGCAATGAGTTTGAAATACTTATGAAAATAGATTAGTAGTCCAGAAAGTGCCATGGTGGGGGGTGGGGACAACAACTTTTGAGCAGGAGAACATTCGCCAGTTGGCTTTGTTAAATTTATAGTGGTGAACTAGTTATTGTCTAACCTACAAGAATTATATATTTGAGCTCAGAAGATACTGAGAACTAGACGAGCTTCATTCCCAAAGAGGGAGAAAAGATCTTTTTTTTTTTCTAATTTCGTGTCCCTAATCAAAATAACTTTTATAATCTAAAAGATTTTATTTTGGTTCATATCTATTATTAAATTTATTAGTAGTTAAAGTTAGGCATTAAAAAAATGACCAGCCTTCAAAATGTTGGTCATTCATCTAATCTTACACACCAAGTGGCTTTGAATTTTAGAAACACTTTTAATACAGCAAACATATTGTATATATATTAGCAGTACCACAGCGTTGAGAATGTGCAAGAATTCAAAAGTATAAGTGTAAACATGCCTTGCCTAAATTTATCTGGTATCCATGACAAATGAGGCAAAATGTCAAGTCAAAGAATAGAAATGGGCTTTTTCACTTTAACACTGTATTTAATTAATACAATCATCTTTAGTACAGATAAAAATGAGGCTGACCAAAGAAAATTTCTTTTTTAGATGGAATATATATTTACTGACATTTTATGAAAAATGTGAAATTACAACTTCAGTGAAAAACATCACAGTAGGCTCAGTCATCCAGTTCATAGTACTGTAAGGAAGTATCTGCATTATTAATCAATTGGGAATCTATGAATATTTGCCATTAATAAATGTATATTCAACAATTGTTCAAGGGTAAATATATTGTAGCTATAATGCTTTTCTAAACTGGCATTTATTTTAAGATTTAATCAAAATCAAAGTACCTTGAGAAACCCACTTTAAGTGTTCCTTTTTCTTTATTGCTTATAAAAGTATGATTTTTATAATCTGGCTTCCTTGCAATTATATTTCATGGTGACTTGCCTAGATTTTTCCTCTCAGCATATGAAAAGCTTCCAAACTATATAAAAATGCTGGTAAAAATAGCCATTCACTTTTTCTTTTTTGCTGCAGCGATTCTGTTTTGAAGGAACAGGGACATGGTTAAAGATGTGGGGCTTGGCAAGCCAAATTAAATGAAACAGACTCAATGTTGCAATTCCTGATTTTTGCTCCTATAATAGAACTGTTCATTTTGGAAGATGAAAAAGGATACAGGCTTAAGACATTTTTCTAAAATCTTAATGAACTGTGGTCAAAGTTACTTAAATACAGAAGCTATGATATCTGTGCTGCAGTCAATAAACTTTCACCAACGACATAAAAACATGCATGCAGCTTGCAGATTGCCAAGAGGGTCTGTACAGAATCGTACTGATGGATGAGTTCACAATACAGATGAATGCATGGACACTGTAACATCAGCAATAGAAAAGCAAAAGACAACCGCCGTAGGATTGGTCTTTTTTCCTCTAAGATTTATTTTATACATTTATTAAGGTGTTATCAAAGTCATCCTTTCCAATGAGGCTGTTGGTGGAAAGCGTGTCTTGGAATGTGTTCTCTATACACCTGATTGAAGTGTCACTCACCAGAGGATGTGTATACGGGGCATATAATGGAACACAACAGGACAGCCTGACAAATCCCAAACAGAAGAACAGACAGAGCTAATGATTCCACTCACTACGTGAGGGTCCTTGAAAGAGCTGGAAAGAGGAATTCGAGTAAGATCCCAATCACATGCATTTATCAAGCTGCCTTCCCGTTTGCAAGCCTCCTCTCTGAAAACTCCCTAAGGTGAGGAGCAGTGAGGAAATCTACCTCCTCAAATTTGCCTCTTGCCTGCTTTATTTATTTCTTTATTTAGGGAACATAGAGGCTAGAAGAAATTGACAGTGAAACCTCTAGTCTGATTTTACAGGGATGGGTATCAAAGACAAGGCTTCAAGTCTAAAACTTTGTATTTTTACCATCTCCTCATGTTTTCCAGTTGTCTACTTGCAGCATTTGAACCCTTCAGCACTTTTCCCTAGGCTTGCCTTATTACAATGCAAATACCTCTGGAAACTGCTCCTGGTGCTGCTTTAACAGAGCACCATCTTTTGTAGTTTCCTGCAATTTTCTTTTTAAGCCAGGCATTGTTTTAAGGCTCTCTCTCTAAATGTTCCTTAATCATGTCACCTCCTAGAATCAGTTCAAGCTCCAAGTACCTGGGATCATTCACTCTTCCTTGATTTCCCAATAAACTGCAAACCTTCTAGAACTGTAGATTTGGTCCTACCAGAAGAATAACAGCAGATGTGGGGGATTACTTGTGAAAGAAGTTTTATCTTAAAACAAGTGTGACATTAATGGAATCAATAAAAGGTCTTATACAATAGGCATTGTATTAAACCAGAGTTCAAGCTTCACATTGATTGTGGTATTTAAATTTCAATGGGTTGATTATGTATGAGAGGAAAATGACCAGTATTATGAATGTACTAAAACTGACAGAGAAGGACCTTGCCAGCAATGAGAGAGGGAGAGGGAAGGGGAGGAGGACACCACGTTCCCTTTATAGTCACCAGAGTTCAATAAAGCACCACTTATTTGCTAGCTTTTAAGAGCGCTTTTATCACAATGGTTCATACCTCACACTCCCTGGAGCCTGATTTGTTATAGGTGCAGGGTCCCGTCCCATTCAGCAGCATCTCACTGGTCTCCGTGTTGGTGGGTTTATAATCTACATAAAATTCCTGGGTGCTGGGAGTCATTTGCTTTAGGGACTGTCTTTTCTTTTTCCTGTGCCTTCGCATGAGGGAGCGCTGCTGCAGCTGCTTCATGCTCGCAGGGTACCGCTTCCATGACACGTAGATAACGAGCAGGATGACGAGCACGGACAGGAAAAGGGCCACGCTCCCTGCAATGATTTTATGGAAAGAGATGTGCTCGGTGTCAGCATCGGTCTCTGGGCTGGGCTCCGTGGCTCCCACCGTGGGGGGCAGAGGGGGCTTGCTCTCATGCTTCGGCCTGGGGAGCTTGGGCTTAAAGGTCGGCTTTGGGAGAGCCCTGGCCAGATCAAACCTCTCTGTGGTACTTTTGCCACAGATGCTGTAGTTCTTCACTGCGTCGATCACATTTACTCCTTGCAGCTCTTTGGGACTGGCACAGATAATTGTATTCTCCCTCAGACCTTTAAAACTTTTCAGCCAGTTTACCAGGGAACAAATATTTCTGCTGCATTCCCATATATTCCCTGCAAGACTGATGTCATTGAGGGATATCCAAGAATCCAAAATCTCTTGACCAATAAATGTGAGCTTGTTGGAATCCAGGTTGAGGCGCTGCAGATTCGGGACGCACTGGAAAACGCTAGGTCCACTAAAAGCTTCGATCTCATTTCCTGATAAATCAAGCCTTTGTAATGAGCTCCAGGTCCAGGACATGGTCTGTCCTATGACACTGATTTTATTCCACTGCAAGTAAAGGTTCTGAAGGCTCACCAACCTTGGAAAAAGGGCCAAGTTGAGCTTAGAAAATTGATTGTGCTCCAGGTGAAGTTCTTTGAGTCTGATCATGCCAGCAAAGACATTCCTGGCTAAACTTCGGATTCGGTTATATCCCAGGTCCAAAAGTTCCAGGTTGCGGCAGTCTTGGAATATTCGCACAGGGATGGTTCTCAGGGAGTTAGACCGCAGATGTAAACTCAGCAGCTTCCGCAAGCCCCGAAACTGTTCAGATCCCAGAGAATGCAGCTGATTATAGGACAGATCCAAGTTCCGTAAATTTGTCACAGGTCTGAAGGTATTGTTGAGAAAATAGGAGATTCTGTTGGAACTCAGAATCAACTCTTTGAGTCTGCGTATTCCATTAAAAGCATTCTCATCAATATTGCTGATATGGTTATGGTCAAGGTACAGCCAGGTGAGCTGGTTGAGCCCTTTAAATTGATTATACTTAAGTTTTTGAAGGCTGTTATAGCGAAGGGACAAACCTAAGCAACCAGCAGATATACTTGACGGTATCTCCTGTAATTTCTGAGATTCACAATATACCATTTTGCCTTCACACCTACAGCCCTTAGGGCATCCTCGTTCGGCAGAAGAAAGCATTGTCAGTAAGACAGTAGGGGCTATAACCAGTGCTACAGCTGATCCGCTCAGTAGCCTAATTACATTGAAACCTGGAAATAAAAACAACTTAGAAAAGTTATCCCCCCAAAAAAGAATTCATTCATTTTTAATCAAGCAAAAATAGGCATGTATTTTCTTTTAAAAATTTAAATCTAGATAACAATATTTAACGTCAAATATCATCTGCTTGTAATTTAAAGAGAATTGTCTTTAGGCTTTTTTTTTTTTAATAGTTAAGCAAGGAAACATGTTCACTAAGCAATTGAATTTATAGTCTTAGAGCAGAGCAAGGTAATCTCTAAAATAATTAAGGCAGAATTAATACAGACTAGAGGCTTTTTTGTTTTTGTTTTTTTAAGAAGGAAAGAAGAAAAATGACAAAACATACCCATCCTTTGTATTGTTCAAAGGTCGTCCTTACGTCTTTTGCTTTGGCTTAGGGGGCCACTTGCATGACAGCCCCTGTCAGCTGCACTGTAGTGAGTCAGGGCTCGCTGACACCCAGGAAGAAAAATTGGACCCCTTGGGAGATGGACCGATTTTGGAACATTATTCTTTGCCAGCCACGCAGAACACTCCAAGAACAAATAAATCCCAACACCGCATTCGCAGCAAAACATCAAAATCTTCCTAGGTAATAGGATCTTCATGGATATTACGTTTTTGCATCTTTACAGTTTTTTTTGGGGGGGGGGGCGTTAGGAAAAAAAAAACTGCCTCCTACAATTTCTTCTTATCGGAAAGCATGATGTATTCCTCCAGGCAACGTGGGGCTACCTGAGCTGCCACATCTGTATTCCATAGCCCAGCATTTCTGATGGTGAGCACCCAGTTCAGCCACAGAGCTGTGTTGGAGCCCAGAAGGCAGGAGAGCCCTGTATCGCGCACACGCTCAGCTCACTTCTGCAGACTGTCATTCTGAAAGCTGCTCCGACTGTTGCTTTGGTTTCAGTGAATGCAGTCTTATGTAAAGCTGCCCCCAGTGGTGAAGAACATTATGGGCATGTGCAGAAATGTCTCTCTTTTATCTTGCAAATGAGCAGGCTCTCTGCTGGAAAATGAATGATTCTTTTGGGTGGCTCAATAGGAACTGAATGGTCACCTTAATCAATAACTAGCAACATTTTCTGTTATTTCCGAGTGTTGTTTTACAATTTGGCAACATCTTTATTGTCTGTGTCCACTTAATTGCTAAACATGTGCTGCCCAGAGTTTTTCTGGAGCTTGACGTTAAGTTCACAGACTGAATGTCAATTTTTCTTAACCTCAGCGTAGGCTTTGAACAGAAATTTATAAAATGAATTATTGAGCTTTTCACAGAGAAGCATTAACTGCCTGCCCATTTGACCTCTTGGAGTCACAGTGATTAAATTATGCAAGGTGTCTCAAGATGCTAGGATACTTACGTTTTAGAATACAGGGGATAATTAATGACATATAAATTAATGTGTCCGATAGCCTTTCTGGTTTTCCCACAAAAGACATAATTGGTTTAATGGCTTACGCCTTGGTTTATTGTTGTTATGGTTGCTGTCATTTTTTTTTAATTAGAAGAGAAATAAACCATATTTAGTGTGGGTAGAAGAATCAAGAGATCATTTGGTTCAGCTTATTGATGCTGCTGCTATTTATTTACACTAATAATATTTATTGAACACTATCTAAGTGCTTTAAATGGGCTATCTTGTTTTATCTTTAAATGAAATTATGTTGTAGGTCCCATTATAACCTTCATTTTAAAGATGAGGAAACTGAGACAGAGAGGTAACTTGCTCAAGGTCATATAGCAAACAAGTGGCAGAACTGAGATTCAGAACCATATCTCTCTTATGGTTGAGCCACTAACCACTAGATGATCCTGTTTCAACAACATTGTTCTCTTTCATTTTCAAATGAGTCAAATGAAAATTAGCCTGATTCAAGCATTGGGGCAGGGAAGCTGTAATAAAAAAATTCTTGCTTCCTAGAATAGACTTGTATAAACTTCTTTGGTATGAGCCTTCTAAAGAAATATTATAAAAACTAAGGAAGGGCAGTTGAGTCTAGTATTAAGAGCATGGATTTTTGCACCTAGGTTCAAATTCTGGCTACAATTTACCAGCTATGTAACCTTGAGTAGCTTACCTGTCTTCTCTATGCCTCAGTTTTCTCTTCTACAAGATGGACATGATAACAAAAACTCATTTCATAGAAGGTTTCAGAATTAAGTCATCTTAATATGTGTAAAGTACTTAGAATAGTGTAAGGCACATAATAAGCCTGTGTTAGCTGTTATTTATTTATTTATTTATTTATTTGCTGAAGAAGAGTCGCCCTGAGCTAACATCTGTCATCAATCTTCCTCTTTTTGCTTGAGGAAGATTCGCCCTGAGCTAGCATCTGTTGCCAATCTTGCTCTGTTTTGTATGCAGGCTGCTGCCACAGCATGGCCGCTGACGAGTAGTGTAGGTCCGTACCCAGGAACCAAACCCAGGTCGCTGAAGCAGAATGCACCAAACTTAACCAGGAGGCCACTGGGGTTGGCCCTAGCTGTTATTTGAATAATATCAACTTTATTGTATTTGCTGATATTGCATGTTGTGTAGTAATGAATATTGACTACATTGACTGTCATTAACTCACAAAGAACTACTTCAATGAACATTTTTTGTATTGTTCACAAGGGATTTCTGAGATTTACTCAGTCTTTCCTTCTTTGATGAGAAAACATCTAAATCTCCATCATCTCAACTTTATCTTTAAAATGAATCTTTTGGTTCTATAGATCGTAACTCGTAATTAATGTGTAATTCTTTTCTTCCCCAAAGCAGAATATGATAACATCTGCCCCATAGAGAAAATCATTTGTTTAAAAATAAATGGTATACTTCTTTAAAAGTTTGCCTTGTTGTTAGTCTTTGTTAGGTGAATTGGCTATGGAAAACCCTGGAGAGCTTTTATATTCTCTAAGAATGAGAAGTTTGGTGACAGTCATGACAATCAAAAGAGGTCCCACAGATATAGTCCAATAAAAATGACCAATTCCTCAGATACGTGAGCTATTAATAGGGCAGTGGCTCCCCCCAAATTATGCATGCCATGAATCCATATAAAACCCCCAGAAAGCTTGTTAAAAAGATAAATTTCCCAATCCCTCTGCTAAGATTCTGATTCAAGGGGATGGAAGAGGCCCCACTTATTCAACAGACTCTGATGGACAACTAGGTTTAAGAAATGTACTGGTGGGGAATGATTAAAAAGAATAAATTTCTTCCTAGTAGGAAGACAGGGTGTACAAACCTATGACATTGTGATGTAAGTTCCATGAGGACAAAGACAATGTTTTGTCTACTTCAGTTTCCCTAATACCTAGAACAGCACTTGGCATGTTATAGATACTCAATAAATGTTTATTGAATAAACACATTTTTGTGGGGGTCATAACTACATTTGATGTCAGGTAAATTGGTTATGTAATACTAGTCTTGTGTACGTGGGATTGATCACTGTGGAGTTCCACAGCCAGTGAGATTGGGTACAATTTTGGAGAAAGTGTTCTTACAGAATGTGCATGAAAAGGCAAGAAAATGAAAAGTGGAAACACTCAGATGGTCAGCAAGTGATCTTCACTTTTCATATAGACATCTCTTGTCTTCATAGTTAAACCATAAATTTCATTAGAACTGTAAGTATACTTTTGAATATTCCCTTTGGCACATTACAACTTTTATCATCTAACATCCCAAATGGGGCTTGACAACTTGTATCTATTAAATAAAAGACTAAAGGGAATCATATTTATAACTCATCTTTCATATATCTGATGCTTGAAAGCCTCTGATTTTTCTCCTCACTTTCCTTGCTTCTCCATGGGAAATAGCCTGGAGTCAGATCCAATCCATGAATGGCTACTGATTACTGTTGAGGAAGAGACCAATGGTCAGTATCTAAAGACTTTTTTTTTGTTGCACTTATAGTACTTCAAATAGCTGAATATGTTTTGTTTAAATTGGGTAAATAAATCCAATCTCAGTATATAATGCCAAATGTCAGTCCAATATGAAACCAAATTGCCAAATATAAATTTAAAAAATCAGAGCTTAAAGAGGATGTACTGGTATCTTATCAATAGGTGAGTACTCACTATGTACCAGACACTATTCCAGACACCTGGAGTATATCAGTGTACAAAACAAAAAGCTAAGGTTACATTCTAAAGGGATTAGACAGACAATAAAAAAAATAATAAATAGTATATTATTAGATCATATGTACTATAGAAAAAAGAAAAGTAATAAGGATAGGGAAGATTGGGAATGCAAGGGGTGAGGTGGATTGCAATTTTATATAGAGTGGTTAGAGCTACTAAGAAAGTGGCTTGAGCAAACCCTTGAAGGAGGTGAGGTTGTTAACCTTAAATATATATGGGGAGTTGCCAGTGCAATGCCCCTTGGGTGAGAGCAGATCATGTGTTCAGTGAACAGCCAAGAGGCCAATCGGTCTAGAGTGAAGAGAGCAAGGGGTATAGTAACTGGAAATGAGTTCAGAGTGGTACTAGGTACTGGGCCATGGAGGGCTTTGTATGCCATTGTAAGAACTTTGGTTTTATTCTGGCGAAAACTGGGAGCCAGCTCAAGATTTTGTGTAGAGTAGAGATATGATCAAGTTACCTATTAAAAGGATCACTCATGCTGCTGTTGTGGGAATAGACTCTAAAGGGACAAGAGTGAAAGTAGGGAGGTTATTGGTACAGGACAGAGATGACAGTGGCTTGGACCAGTGTGATAGCAGTGGAAATGGTGAGAATTGGTTAGATTCTGGATATATGTTTAGGTAAAACAAATAGGAGTTTTCCAATGGGTTAGAAGTGGAGGTATGAGATAAAGAGACAAATTAAAGATGACTGTTACATTTTTGTTTTTTTGGTGAGGAAGATTGTCCCTGAGCTAAGATCTGTGCCAATCTTCCCCTATTTTGTATGTGGGACGCCTCCACAGCATGGCTTGCTGAGCGGTGTGTAGGTCCACGCCTGGCATCTGCACCTGCGAACCCCAGGCCACCAAAGCAGAGTATGCAAACTTAACCATTACGCCACTGGGCTGGCCCCAAGATGACTCTTACTTTTATGGGCTGAGCAACTGGATGGTGAAGTCATCAACTGCTTTCGTGGGTCAAGTTTTGGGAATAAGATCAAGAATTTAATACATTTGAATTGTCTCAATTTGGCTCTCACTTTTCTTCAATTTTATGAGATTTTAATTTAATTTTTAAAACATCTTCTTGATATTAGGCATCAAAACACTGCTATATATTTTTAAAATATTTTATGAAATGATTAGCAAAATTAGACACTAAACAACAGCAACATGGATTTCTATTCAGGTGGTGTAGATAGAGGCAACATCCTTGCATATGGCCTTGGAAGGCAATGGAACCAAAAGCTTTGGTGAAAACTGAAAATTACATCAAGACCAGATATGGGAACATTTGGACTAAGCAGTCTAGAAAATAAATTCGGTGAATCCAAAATATCTTTCTAGAATAATTTAGAGAATGCCATATACTTTTTATTGCATATGTCAGTTGACATTTGGAATTTGGAACATTCTGGCCAAACTTCTCAGGGTCTCAGTTTGCTTATCTGCAAAATAGGACTCATAAAACCTGTGCTATGAATTTCTAAGGCTTTTATTTAGAATCAATTTTCGTAATTTATGTGTAAATACATTGTAAACTGTAAAGTGCTGTTATATATTTCTGGAATCAGTACCTATGAGAAAATTAATTTTCCTTTCATTCTGGCTAGGTTCTCTGGTCATGAGCACATACTGGAACAAACATATATCAAAGGTCCTGAACATGACCGAGGACAGAATCAGAATTTACCAATATTATTAAAAAATTCCTCAGTATTCCCCTTCTACTATAATTTTAATACCACAACCATTTATTATACAACATATGTCG